AGGAGAGGGAGGGAGAGAGAGAATAGAGAGAAAGAGAAAGAGAAGAGAAAGAAAGAGAGAGAGAGAGAGAGAGAGAGAGAGAGAGAGGGAGAGCGAAATATGGAAAGAGAAAAAGATTAGATCCTCCCGCGTGCTTAACCCTTTCGTCAGCCCCCGAGAGGAAAGGACTGATGATGATGAGATGGCCGAAGACGAGATCAGACTCCATATTAGCAAGCTTAGGAGTTTATTAAACATTTGTTTGACTCTCTCAATGCTAATAAAGTGTGTGTGTGTGTGTGTGTGTGTGTGTGTGTATGTGTGTGTATGTGTGTGTGTGGTGCGTGTGTGTGTGTGTGTGTGTGTGTGTGTGTGTGTGTGTGTGTGTGTGTAGGTGCGTATGTGTGTATAAATAGAATATGTTCAGTATGTGTGTGTGTGTGTGAGTGTGTGTGTTTATTGTACATGTTCGGTATTTATATATGCTTGTGCGTGTACGTCCATGATTGTGCCCCCTCCAAGGTTAAGTTACACCACGCACAGGTAATTACCACATGTTACTCACCTGGCCGAGGTAAATTCTATTAGCGTGTGGCAGCGTGCTTGTGTGGGAGGATGGACAGCCTGCAAGGACAACCCGGCTGGTTATGCACACAACTCGATGTGCTTGTGTACTTGTGTGCGTGTCTGCGTCCGTGGCTAGAAACTTGAGAAGACCAGTCGAAGCTTTGCAACTTCTTGCAAAGTCTGAACCTAGTTTTGTGGGTAGTTGTTGTTGTGTGTGTGTGTGTGTGTGTGTGTGTGTGTGTGTGTGTGTGTGTGTGTGTGTGTGTGTGTGTGTGTGCGTGCGTGTGCGTGCGGATGTGCGAGTATGTGCGCACTTTCCATTATACCAAATAACATAATAGTAATGATAATAATACCAGGCCTTTAGAGCTGGCGCCACGTGAATATACATTAATTTTGCACTTTTTATCATTCGCATAATTCGCACCCTGACTGTCTCCCTCCGTCCCCAGCGGCCTGAACCTGAACATGTCCGCGGCCGAGATGCGGGCGATGCTGGCCCGCAAGAAGAAGGCCGACCCTCGCAAGGACACCTTAGACCTGCGGAAAAAATACGAGATCATCCAGAACATGTAGGAGACACGTCGCCGCCGGCCCTCCTCCTCCAGGGCGCCTGATTCCGTCCCTTTCTTTCGTTCTTTCTGCCTCCTCCTTTCGTAACGAAGAGGAGAAAAGAGGAAGGATCAAGAGAGAATAGGATGAAAGGAGGAGTGTTATTTGGGTTTTCCCCCGCCCGTTTATTTCCCATTTTTTATGGAAATGTTAAGACAATCTGTTTAGCGAAAACGGGATGTCGGAAGGTAGCGGACTCCCCCCCCCCCCCACCCCTTCCTAAGTTTTTTCTTTCCTTTTTTTCATTGATTTACATTTTAATTCCCTCCCCCTCTTTCTTCCACCCTTTTTTCCCTTCTTTTTTTTCTCTCCCCCAACATACTTTGGTTGTTACAAGATCGACATGGGATTTATGTAAATAAGAAAAAAATAAAGTATTCCATTCCGTCTTGTAAGTAGATAGAAAACACGGAGCTTTCCACCCGAGCCGAGCGCCGCCTCACCCGGGTCCTTGGCAGTCCTTCTCAATCCCTGTCTTGTTATTTTTGTCTACGCAATCACCCGACCGTGAAGCCACAACGCACGCTGGAGGTAAACTTTTTGAAAAGAGAGATTAGATTTTGCTGAGGAAAGAGAGAGAGATTCGTCATGGAGATACACCCTGTTTGTTTTTATTCCGTTTTCTATGAAATGGATTTCAGGGGTAACTTGCATATAAAAGGACTGCATTTCCATTGATTGTTTTTTAAATCTCTTGTGTGATGGTGGTGTTGGGTGATTTAGTGTCATCACTCGCAAATGAGGGTCATGGCGACCGGCGAGTGATGACAGCGGACAAAAAAAGGTTTACAGAAAATAGATATTTAGTAGTTTCATGATGGCGACGATAACCATTGCTGAGAAAGGTTTAAAAAAAATTAGAAATGGCAATATTCCGATTTGCTCCACAACTGCCTTTGCCTTTGTCAGCGGGGAGTTGTCCGAACCCCATGGATAATTTCTATTATGTATATTTGTAAGTGAATCATGTAGTTAAGAGTTGTTATAAATGAGTGCTTATGTGATGAGATAAAGGGGTGTTAATTGTGCAGTCACAGGATCCTCCGGAGAGACGCCATCTTGGACAGCCTTCTGGGCCCTCGGCGTCCAAGGAGGGAGCCCGAAGGAGGCGTCCCGGGACTCCTGCGTGGGAGGACGTGCATTGATTTTTTATTTTCCTTTTTCCGATGAGGTCACTGAGGAAATGGAAGAAAAAAAAGATACGAAAAAGAAAACTATATCTATATACGAAAGCCTCGTGTTTCATGGCGTGGTTTTTTATAATCAATGTCAGGAGATTTTGTGTCTTTGTGCATCAAATTCCGTACGTCTGTTGTGCCTGGTGATTGGCAAGGGACCAATG